TAATTTGGGTTGGCGGGTTGGGTTCAAATCAAACTCGAAAATGACCCAACCCGAATTAGGTCAACCGGAAACCGACCCGAATAATAAACATGTCAAATTCACTGACCCGAACTGACTCAAAAAATATTCGGGATAATTCAAACCCTAATTTTTTCGAGTCGAGTTCAAGTCATGGTGTCGGGTTAATTTTTGACACCCCTAATTTCAAATTCACTGACCCGAACTGACTCAAAAAATATTTGGGATAATTCAAACCCTAATTTTTACGAGTCGAGTTCAAGTCGTGGTGTCGGGTTAATTTTTGACACCCCTAATCATAGTTTTTAATATTTAAAATTCTTGTTTCTCATTTTATTTTAAAATAATAATTTTTTATTTTTCTAATGTAAAGTTTGTCAGCTTGTCAATCATCATCATGTATTTGTTCCTTCTCAAGTTTACAGACCAACTACATATTTTTTTTCTGATTCATAGTGATATCTAGGGTCCTTGTAAACATCTTACACCATTAGAAAAAAAAAAATGTTTTGTAGTTTTTACTGATATTCACACAATGTTAAGTTTGGTGTATTTTAATGGAAGAAAAATTTGAAGTGGAAACAATTTTTAAAAACTTTTACACTATGGTCCAAACACAATTTCAATAAATTATTTAAATATTATAAGTGATAATTACTGAGAGTATTTTAAAAATATTTTGGGTCAAATTTTTTTTGAAAAAGAAATAGTTCATTAAGTCAACACCCCCACAACAAAATCATGTGGCTAAAAGAGAACATTACTTATTGGAAGTAGCTCGAGTATTACTATTTAAAATTCAGGTGCCAAAATATCTAGGGTGAAGTTTTTCTGATTGCTACATTCTTTGTTAATGGAATACTCAATAAAGTTTTAAACTTTGAAACACCTTTTGATGTTTTTTCAATAAATTTATCAAATAAAAGTTTGTCTTTACTTTAAAAAATATTTTTATATACTGCATTCGTTCACATTTATAGTCATAATCAAGAAAAACTTAAATCCCGAGTTATAAAATGTGTTTTTTGGTTATGCTCTCGCCCAAAACAACATAAATATTTTGGTCTTATTTTAAAAAAAAAATTTAGATTACAACCATTTTTTTCATCTCATCTTCGGGGGGGGGACAAAACAAAGATTCAACTACTATTTTCAAGATTTTCTTCAAACTGAAGACTTACGAAATATCTCCTCAACTTTGATTGTTTAACCTAAAAATCCAAGCTACATTTTATGAGAAGAAAGCGGGTACAAGTTTTTTAGATAATTAAGACGATTCAACTCTTCCTACAACGCCATCTCATGATGTTTATAATTCTATAATAACTAATAAAGAGATTTTCTTCAAACTGAAGACTTACAAAATATCTCCTCAACCTTGATTGTTTAACCTAAAAATCCAAGCTACATTATATGAGAAGAAAGCGGGTCCAAATTTTTTAGATAATTAAGACGATTCAACTCTTCCTACAACGCCATCTCATGATGTTTATAATTCTATAATAACTAATAAAGAGAAAACAAAATAAAAGAACTATGTTATTTGTGTCATTTGACATTGTCTACTCGTGGAAAACGACAACTCAAAAGAAAGAGTCTATAAATCATTTGCATTGCCCATAATCAATGAGTTTTTAGATAATGTCTTCATTGAGTCTTTACCCCATGATCAGTCCACTTCATCTTCGAGTTATGAGTCTTCTAGTCCTGAACCTAAGTCTAGCCCTAATCCTAAATCTATTGATTCCATTCATCATATTGCTCCTTATAAGGGGGGTGTGGTCTTGCACCGAATATCAATTTTCTCATTATGTGTTATATGAAAATTTCACCCTTTTTCGAGCTTTTAAGTCACATTTGTCTTGTATGAAGATTCCTACTACAGTGTATGATACTCTGAAAGTTTCTAAATGGAAGAAGACCGTGTTCGAGGAGATTAAAACTCTAGAAAAAAATGACATGCAAATTGGTTGAACTACCTAGATGAAATAAAATTGTCAAATACAAATGGGTGTTTACAACCAAAGATAATTCTAATGGCTCTCTAGAACCGTACAAGGCACGATTGGTTGCCAAGTGATTCACTCAGATCTATAATATTGATTACTTAGAGACATTTGCTCCTGTTACAAAAATAAACTCTATAAGAATTCTTCTGTCACTTACACTTAATTTGGACTGACCCCTACAACAGGTAGATATAAAAATATTTTTCTCAATATGAACTCAGAGGAAGAACTGTACATGGATGCACCTCCAAGATTTAGTGAGAAATTTGAAATAAAGGTGCGTGAATTAAAAATAATTTTATATGGTTTGAAGTAGTCACCGAAAGTATGGCTTGAGAAATTTACAATGTTTGTTAAAAGTTGGGGTTATATTCAAGGGCAAAGAGATCATATAGTGCTCTTCAAATATTCAAATGATGGGAAAATTTTCATACTGATTGTGTATGTGGACGATATAATTGTCACCGGAGATGACATATATAAAATGAACCGGTTGAGTATTTCACTCATCAATTTTTGAGACCAAAAACTAATGATCTCTGATTCCTTGCATGGGGTTTGCTAGATTAAAGAGAGATCGTTGTTTTCCAACAGAAGTATGTTTTTGATTTTCTAAAAGAAACTAGGATGAGTTGTTGTACTCTCGTAGACACTCTAATTAATCCCAGTCAGAAACAAAGAGACGAGCATGAAGATGACCCAGTGAATACAACTCAATATCAAAACTTAGTGGGAAATTTGATATATTCATCACATACATGACCAAATATCGGATTTGTTGTAAGTTTAGTAAGCCAATTTATGCATTCGTCCTTTGAAAAACATCTTGGAGTAGTTAACATGATTCTCAAACATCTTAAAAGTACACCAGACAATGACTTACTGCTTTAGAAGACCACATGACAGAACAAGAGGCATACACCGATGTAAATTGGGTGAGTTCAGCTATTGACAAGAGATCGATGTTCGGATACTATACTTATGTATGAGAAAATCTGATTACATGGCGAATTAAAAGATATAATGTGGTGGCAAGGAGTAATGCCGATAAAATATTGAGCTATGACTAATGGAGTATGTGAGATGCTATTGTCGAAGAGAATTCTTGAAGAGCTATAGATTTCTATAAACTCGCCAATGAAGTTGTAATGTGACAACAAAGTTAACTTGAGCATTGCAGAAAATCCAATGCAATATGATTGTACAAAACATGTGGAGATTGATGGATACTTCATATCAAAGAAGATTGATTATGGAACTATATGCATGTCTTTTTCTTCGATAACGCAACAAATAACATATATCTTCACTAAAGGATTGTTCAGGTTTGGTTTTGAGTTCTTTGAAAGTTTAGCATGATAAATATCTATGCTCCAACTTGAGAGAGTTCCATAATTTTAGAAATTTCTTCTTTTGGATCTTCTATTTTTTTATTCTTATTTTTAATCGTTTCTATTTTTAGCACTAGCCATTGTTGATAATTTCTATTTACTTTTTTTTTATCATGAAGATTTTGTAGCTTTCCTAATGTGATGGCCTTCCCTTGCTAGTTATCTTGTAACCGAGTCTTACGAAATTGAAGATGAATAATTTTTTTTCCCTCCCAAAACTTATACTTTAAGCACTGATAGGCATTACAAGCCGCCTGATGTATGAGTGGCCCACCACGATTCCCTCGATCCCTCGATCTCGGGATCGGATTGCGAACTAACTTGAAAGGCAATCCTGTCTCGGGAGTCTATAGCGGGAATTTCCCTCCGCTGAAAGGGACCAACCCATATGGAACCTCATTTTATACCTATTTTGAATTGAATTAGTGCTAAATTTTGCTTGAGACTATTTATATCTTGTTATTTCCTGTTTCTGAGACTTTTACTATGATTTTGTGTATTTGGAGATTTTAATCTCTGATTTCTACCCTATGGAGTGTTGTATGGTCCTCTTTTGCAAGTGCTATACATAGAACTTGTTCATAATAGATAGTGGATCTCCCTTGGCAACTGTGCCTCATTAGAATTGGTTTTCTTGATTCTTTCTGCTGTTTTCAGCCCAGACAGCTGCTGAACTCCTCCTATCTCCTTCCAAATGTCGCCGACCTCACATCTTTTCATTCCCTTGATATTCTATCATCACTTCCCCACTAGACCCGCCTCTTAAACTCCTAGGAAATCTAGAATGGCATCAATGCCAGTCTAGAAAGCTTGTGGGGTGGTTCGTTGCAAGTGAAATAAAGTTACCGTCATATGAGAGAGGAGGCTTCTTGTGAAGATAGTTATAGGTTTTAGGGGAATTAAAACCTCAAAGCAAGCATCATAGACAACATGTTTATGTCGCAGTTCACATTTTATGCAGAGTAAATAGTTTATGTCAATCTTGTTTGTGGAAGTGATTATTATTATGGCGTATTTTATTCTTTGTCAAAGTGGCTTGTTTCTATAGTTTTTGCGACTCTGTATTTTCATAGTGGTTGATGCAGCCAGCTTAATGTATTGAGAAGTATTGTTTAGGCTTTAGCCCTGCCAGTTTCTACTTTATTTTTTTGACAAAGCTTGTTAATCTTATGGATTTCAAATCCTTTACCATGATACATAGTAAAGTGCCAAAACGCTCTCCTAACTTTCTGTAAAAAAGGACACTTTAGTCTCCAATTTTATAAAAGTTTAGGGAATAGTGCCAAAACGCTAGACTTTTTGCATGGGGGCCATTTTAATCCTAGTGTTTATAAAAATGTCAATTTAGTCTCCAACCTCTTTTAATATGGGTTGAAATACGTGTGGACTGTTTTAATTTGCATTAAAAGTGTCTAAGGACTTGTTTAACATATTTATAAACTCTGGAATTAAAATAATCTCATTTAAATAGTGAGGGAAATATTCTGACATTTTACTCTGAAAATGAAATTATCCCATGATGCAGTTGTTTTAGCTCAAAGATTTTTTTTGTTGTAATTTCATAAAATATACCATGATGCAGGGAAGATAACTTTGACCCGGACCTTGAGAACATGATGATCATGCAAGCGATCTGGCAGTCTATGCAGGTGATGTAACAAGCAGCTTTTTTTTAGGGACATTTACATACATAGAGCCCAATTCTTATTATGTATTTACATATCTCATATCTCACCTAAACTTTCATATTCACACACATAGCACTCAATAAATATGAAAGTTTAGGTATGAGATATGCAAATATATAAGAATTGCGTGATGGGTATGTAAATTTTGCTATATTTTTTGGCTTATAATTTAGGTGAGAGTATGGTATCAAAAGGTTCCTCATTAAGTAGAATGCTTCCTATTATGATTACTATACATTAAGCAAATTTTATGCCTTAATTATACTGCCATATCACATGAGTATTTCACTTGATTTCTCATTAAGCCTTGCACATCCACAGCCCAGCTCCTTTGGCACAACGCATGCCTCACAAGACTTGTGTATTTACATATGAACATCTACAGTTTTCCATCTACATATATAGTATTCAAATCTTTAACATCAAAGTAATAGTATCATTAATATTAAGTTTTTAAAATAGTAAAGTACTAGTACTCGAAGTGTTAGGCACATTCAGGGTGGCCATTCCTTTTAAATGTCTACATATATATAATATATATATGAAGTTGCATGCTAACAATGCTATTTGTATTTACACGCAATTCTTATGTTCCCACTCCTCTCTCACTCTCTCTCTCACTCTCACTCTCTCTCACTCTCACTCTCTCTCCAAGTAGCAGCAAATTAATATAAGAAAACAGCAGAAAACTTCATATCTGATCAACCATTTCCTCTTGGAACAGGAGCAAGAAATGCAATCATCTCCCTCATCCTGTAACATCAATAATTTACCCATTCAACCCTTATTCTCAGATAATTGTTTCAACTGTAATTCTACTTTTTCGACCAATCCATCTCCTTCCAACACCCTCCCTTCCACAATCCCTGATCTATCATCGCCCCACCACATCTGCGGCAGCCTGACAACTTTGCCCACCAACCTCCCCCCCATCTCCACCATGCTCCCGTGCCTCACTTTTCCCGTCAATAACTGGAACGAAGAACTCGAACTCGAACATAGCCATCGACTACCCGATCCCACACAGGACCAGTGGATGATAATGAATGATGGATCGAATATGATCGAAGCGGATATGAACTATTCTGAGTCAAACATCCTAACCAATGCCGTCGGAATGTCGACGCGAAGTATGGCTCCCGGCGACGTTACTCCTGAGAATTTTGAGGATCAAATGATGCTGACAATGGCTGTTTCAGCGGCGGAAGCTGGAGCGAGGATGAACTCTCTGGAATTAATGTGGTTATAGATTTAAACCTGGTTTTTTGAATGGACTATGTGAATTATATGAAGGCTGCTCGGAGCTTCATGAGTTTATCAATGGAGGTGAACTATTTGATGGCTTTCAGATAACCAGCAACTAAAAGAGTAGTGCTTTTTAGGGTTTTGATATACTTGGTGGGGAGAGGAAGGGGGTGATGGGAATGGTTAGTGGAGATGATTTTGATTTGTAATTTCTCTCTGACATGAAAATGTTAAATAATTTGTTGGTTTTTTTTTTTTTGGGGTGAGATTTTAGTGATCAGATTTGTATTATTAGTAGTTATAAAGTTTGATGAGAAATATTATGTGTCAAGTTATCATGACTAAAAAAGGGTGAATTTAAGCATTTAATGCCTATTCTATTGTGTGTTGAAAATAATAAATATCACTCAGTGGCAGAGTCGTAAATATGCGTTGTTGGAAGCTGAGTGATTGAATGATTTGGTGTGTTAATTTGATATTGAGGTAATATATTAAGAGATGAATTGCATATTTACCTCAAAAGAATGTATATGGTGCATTTCTTAAAGTGTATGGGGTGAAAATGCAAATGTTTACTTCCATAAAAACAACTTTATAAAATATCTTTTGTGCTTGAAGCTGAGACATGTTTGGGGGTCTAGACCGCTTTTTTTTTGGCAATCGCAACGTATATTAACTCTTAATTCTAGCCATTCATTATAAAGTATATATATCATATATCCTTAATTTTTTTATGCTTGAAGCTGAGACATGTTTGGGGGTCTAGACCGGTTTTTTTTTGGCAATCGCAACGTGTATTAACTCTTAATTCTAGCCATTCATTATAAAGTGTATATATCATATATCCTTAATTTTTTTTAAAAATATTTTATTTTAATATTATTTCTGACACATGTTTGGGGTGTGTCGGGCACATGGCTGTCTAAGACATGTCCAACTCTACACGCCTCCTTATTCAAGAGTGTATGTGCTCTCGTGCATCATAGTCGATATCAAAAGATCAATTATTTTGCACTTTTTAATAAGTTCTACATAAATTATATTTGAAATGCATTGTTTAGCATTCATGAAATATCATTATCATAACCTCTAGTAGTTTTTTCTTCAATTATATGAAGATATTAAAAATCACTATTTTCATTCATTCTTATTATATTATATATATATATTTTTATTTATATTATTGTTTTCTAATTTCTAATAACTAATTTTAATGGAATATTTTATACCTTTAATTGTGAATGATCAAACCATCTACTTTCAATCACCTTGCACTCCAATATTCTTTTTTTCTAATATACAAATTTATATATAATAATTTTTCGATAAAAAATTATGCTAGTTGTCGACTACCTAATACAATCCTCTATTTTTCACATCCCGGACGTGAGCCCTCCTGGTTTGGTCACATTATACATCAATCATTTGATGATCCAGTCAGAAGAGTAAATGTTTTATATTTAAATTATGTTAAGAAAGATAGAGATAAGCCTAAAAAAATTAGCGTATAAAAAAAGTTATCTTACCTTACATTTATCGATCTTAACGCTAATTTTTGAAAAAAATCTTGGATATCAACAACTTTACCCCCATCATATTATATTTGCTCATAAAACTCTATTATCACTTCTCCATTTAACCATATTACTAGCTCTAGAAGATATATCTTTATCAATATCCCCATTACTCCATATAATATACAAAAAAAATAAATACAACAATCATTTTCTACTTATACTAGATAATTACTATTGAACATAACAAACTCTATAATTATGTTTAATGGACTCAAATCATTACGCTAATAACTCTGAATTCTCTATGCACTACATATTATGCTCACAATTTTAATTTTGGAAGATTTACATACATACCACTGCATTCTTATTTATTTACATATATACTACCTAAACTTTAATATTTACATTCATAACACTCAAATCTTCAACATCACATCAAAAATATAACTTTACCAACTTTTAAAAAAATAAAATGCATCTTTATATGCATGGGCATATAACACTTTGGTGTTATAAAGACAAATATTGAACTTGAGGTGTCAGACAATGTAAATCCATAGGAATTGTTGGGGTACATATGTAAATTTCCACAGAAGACAAAAGAGAGAAGTATAGAACAATGAACAACTAAATCAAATATCCATAGCAATATAATTAAGAGCTTCATGTCACAAAATATGGGAAAATAAATGAATAAAGAATATAAACGAAGTATGCGAAACTTTTGATGCATTGAGCAGGTTAAGTAGAACACAACAATAATAATCTACAAAATAATAATAAAGATTAATTAAAAATGTGGCTGCCATAATCGTGATTAAATTTCTCATACCGATGAGCATGGAGATGAGCTGATGGTCTTGTGTTTCTCAGAGCCACCTCAATATCTTCAGGTGTGATGGCACCAACGGCAGGCAACTCTGTAATTCATTAATGTATTTAGGGGCATTTACATACTTTATTTTTTACATTTATACCGCCCGAATGCTGCATATCACATCGAAAATACCACGATTTTAGCTTTTAAAAGGTGGAATACACCTTTTCATGCATGGGTAAGGTGGCATATATGTAAATACTAAAGTTTTAAGTGTTAGATATGTAAGAACAAAAGAACTGAATGGTGTGAATGTAAATCTTTCTTTGGGTTTTGTTTTGGGTAGTGTAGCATTTCTATTTACAAAACAGTCATAATATATTTATGGGAAATTTACATACGTAGGACACAATTCTTATGGATGTGCGCATCTCACACACGTTTAGCGTTTTACCTATGTGTGAAATGATGGAATTGACTATTAAAAGATGGTAATTTATGCTATTTTTGATGTGATATGAAAGAATTGAGTGCTATGAGTGCAAATAAAGAAGTTTATGATGTGAGATATGTAATTCCATGAGAATTGCGTGCTGTGTAAGTAAATGTCCCTAAATTTATATATATTTAGATATGATCAAATAATCGAGAGTAAAGCTCACCTTCCTCCGGCACTTTGTCCGGTCGGCTTTCCAAATATGCCATCAATCTCCTTAGTGGCTGCATGGCTGCTTCTTTGCACACTAAACGAATATCAGATCCTGAATAGCCGTCTGTTTTCTCCACCAGATAATCATAAGGCATTTCAGAATCCCCAGAAGAAGTCAGAAGCTCCTCAAACATGGCTTGCCTGGCTTCTGGTTCAGGAAGAGGCACAAGAATCTGATGGAATAAGGTTTAGGGGAAACATACTTGGAACTAGGAGCTTGTTCGGAATCAATTTTGTATATTATTTTTTACTTTTATTTTTAAAAACAAGTTAGATTTATTTTAAGCGACAAACATGTTTTGTTTCAAATCAAAACATAAATAAAATGAAACAAAAATTGGAAAATTAAAAAAAAAACAGAAATAAAAGTGATCCCAAAGTGCCTTTAAACAATTATAATAAATATTGGTTTAGGTTCAATCATAATGAAAATCTTTAACCAACAATGGAATATAGAATGAAAAAAAAAGGAAAAAGAAGAAAAAAACAACATAATGTAAATGCACCCTACATTAAGCCCTTGCAATTAATTAGAGGGTGAAAAGACAAAGTTAATAACAATTTCCACCATGGGATATTTTGCAATGATCTAAAAAAATGAAAAAAATTACGTCAAGATATAGATCTTAAGCCCATTGAATTTTACTTATGATAAGTACAATACAAATTTCAATTGATTACTCATCTACTGCACTAATCTCAAAACTAATCCAATACTTTGAGAGTCATTCTGACCTAATTTTTAATCGGGGGCATTCACATACATATCACACAATTCTTATGTATTTACATATCTCACTACATATCTCACACATCTCACACATAAATTTTCATATTTACATAACATTTTGGTGCTTTAAACTTATGCATGAAAAGGTGTAATTCACTTTTAAAAGGCGCTACTAGTGCTTTTTTATGTGATATTAAATCTTTTGAGTACTATGTATGTAGACATGAATGTTTGGTGTGCAATATATGTATAAGAATTGTGTGCCACTAACGTAAATTTGCCTTTTAATTGAATTTGTTTTGACAAACAAATCAGCAATGACCGACAATGCTGGTAAGATCACATTCCAATTAAATGCTAATATAACATTCCAATTCTTATGTATTTACATAACTCACACCTAAACTTTTATATTTCCACATAACAAATAAATATCTAATTTATCATAAAACATATAACTCACTACTTTTTAAAAGTCAACTACACATTTTCATGCATAGGTTAGAGCACAAAAATACTACATATATAAATATATATATATATATATATATATGAACATGAAAGTTTAGGTGTGAGATAGGTAAATGCAAAAGAATTGTTTGTGTAAATTTCCCATGAAAAAATAACTCCAAAGAACACTTTATCCATTTAATCAACAATGGAAAACTAGCACAAAGGATACCCTCTTATCAAGGCGTCTGAGCATGGCTGCATCAAGTTCCCAAGGAAGGTTTGTTGCAGCTAAAACAAAAACAAGTTCATCTGTCTTTGTCAAACCATCCATCTGCACTCAAAAGGGCAACGTAGATACATATTATTAAAGGGCATCGGTTGGTGAATTTACATACATACCACATAATTTGTACGCATTTACATATTTAACACACAAACTTTTGATATTTACTAATGTAATACTTTAGTGTTATAATCATAACAAAAAATATGTTTCAAAAGGTGTGATTCACTTCTGAAAAATTAATATTAGTGGTATCTTTAAATGATGCTAAAAATTTGGTGATATATAAGAAAATATTTGAATTAAAATGTTAGAGAAGTATATAAGAATTGTGTCGTATGAATGAAAATCCCTCTTTTTATTTTTCTATAGAATAAAAGAGTATAAATAAACACATAATCGCATAAACCTTAGCCTAAAACTATTACGTAAAAACATTGAAACAATGACCATCAACATAGGAAACAGTGGATAAAATTGCGGAGTCTCTACTCCAAAAAGCAGTTAATATTTGGGGCATTTACCTGCATACCACCCAAAGCTTATGTATTTACATATCTAACATTTAAAGTTTAATGTTTACATTTATACAACCCATATATTTCATATCGCATATAAAATACTATTATTTTAACTTCTTAAAAGTGAAATACACATTGTCATGCATGGGTAAAGTGGTAAATATGTAAAAATTGAGGTTCAGGTGTTAGAAATGTAAACATAAGAATTGAGGAATGCATGTAAATCTTCCTTAATATATATATAGAAAAAATTGCCTGTAAAAGAAGCTCAGTTTTTAAACGACGACTGGCTTCATGCTCGCTATGTGCTTCACCACGTTGACTAATGATGGCATCAATCTCATCGAGAAAAATAGTAGATGGCGCATGATGCCTGGCGAGCTCGAACAAAACGCGTACCAACTTTTCTGAGTCGCCTGTAAATGAGAAAAAAAATGTTATATAGGCCGTCACATTGGATCTAATGGAAGGATTATACAACCTAAGCAAAGACAATAAAGTTGCAATAAACCTCAGTATCATCTTATATGGTGATGTAGAATAAAAAAACTAATCAGCTTCGATAATTTTATCATATTAGATATGCGGCATTTACATACATTACCACCCAATTCCTATGCATTTACATAGCTAACATCTAAACATTGCTTTTTACAAATACATCACCCAAATCATCATATTACATTAAAAAATACCACTACTTTAAATTTTAAAAAGTGAAATACACCTTTTTCATGTATAGTTAAAGTAGCATATATATAAAAGTTGAAGTTTTGGTGTTAGAAATATAAATACATAAGAATTAAGTGGTATGTATGTAAATCTTCCATAATATATATATAAATATATAAATATATAAATATATATAAATATATAAATAAATAAATATATATAAATATATAAAT